CTTCTTGTTGTACCACTTGATTTGATTAGTTTTTGGGCCTTACTGAGGTTCTGAATCTCTTTGATCCCATTTTTTGTAAAGGTAGTCTTCTTCATGGCAATGTGGCCTTAATGTTCGAGGTCTTTTCTATACACATTAAGATCTTCTATGGTACAGTTGAGGCACATTTTCTCCAATGTTGATGATGCTGAAGCATCATATTTAGTTGTTTTGGGCTTCCTCCTCCTATTCTTTCCTCTCCCAAAGCAAGACTTTGTGGAATGCGCATGGACATTTGAGCTTTTCATTTCTGCTTAAGATTGACTCGGATTGCTTTTCTTCTTCTTTGCTAGCTTCCATATGCTGTGTAGGAAGTATTGTGTCTTTGTCGTCTCCTTTCTCCCTTTTTGGGTATACCTCTAAAAAATCAAGATCAAAAGGGCCAAGGCATAAATTGAAGGCAAATTAGATAATGCTTTTTGATGTTTTCCAATCAATTTATCCTTTTTATGTGAATTGGATATATGGAATACTTTTAGACCTAAATGCTAAACATTTGCTTCATAATTTTGTTTATTGCGTTAGTTTAGCTGTTTGTTTGTGGGTTGAAAGGTTGTACCCTGTTTTAATTTAGCCTACATCAAGCTCTATAGTGCCCTAACAAACTAACTTCAGTTATCTTCCTTCTTTGTTTTAAATGGTGGATGATTAAAGTTCATATTAACCCGTTTAAGGTTTCATTTAGGACAATTTTTTTACTGCTTTATAGTACAAAATTTTCAAATGAAAAAATTTTATACTATGAGACTGCTTCATAATACAGTAAGAAAGTTGTACGAGACGAAGCCTAAGAGAGCAGCTCCCATTTGTCTGGCTATTCAAGAGAGAGATTGTGTTTTTAATGGACATTCTTTCTATCTCTCATGATTTTTCAATTAGTGCTGAGAGATCATGATGCGAACCTAAGTTCTAATACCAAAATGATGTAACCTAAGTTCTTAAACCAAGAAGAACACTAGGAATGCAAACTAAGACACTTCCTTTTAATAAAACATAAACAACACCAAACAATGTAAACTTAGTAGGAAATAAAGATGGGAAAATGGTTAGGAATATGCACGAGATAGAAAAAAATAAAATAAAACATATAAATTAAAATACCCTCAAAACAATCACAAATGGCCACCTCATATGCAAAACACAAACTAGGAAAGGTGCTCAAAGGAAAAGACAAACCAGAGATCTACCACAAAAAGTTATAATATAGCACAAGTTAATGCTCCTCCAGCAAATACCAATAGAATGGGGAACACCACCACCTTATAACTTACAATATTTAGAGAAGAAAGATACAAGTGGAAGGGAAACTGTGGAGAGAAGCAGAAAGAAGACCAAAAGGAAGAAATAAGGGTTGGGGAGAAGATAACTCGCAAGCTAAGAAGAAACCCTCATGTTTATATTTTTTCACACCATCCACAACCTCTGCACGATGAAATTCAACCACTACTTATAGGAGAAATGAGGGGAAAGAACATTTATTAACTCCCATAAATTAGCATACAAAATAGTCAAAAAGAACCACCCAACACAACCCTCAAAAGAGAAACCCAAAGCATCCTGCATAGGAAACAACAAAGAGAAAACTGAGCAGCCAACAGTAGAAAAATTTAACCAGCCAGCAGGGAAATCGAGTAGCTAGCAGGGAAACTAAACAACCAATAGAGAAACCGTGCAGACAACAAGGAAAACATGCAAACAACACATAAAAACAATAGTCATCAGGGAAAAAATTGTAGGCATCAGGGAAAAATAGCAGACATCAGGAGCAAGGCAAGATCAACATAATAGGAAGGCAATGGTGTGAACTGACCTGAGAGCACCGAATCCAGCATGCTCATGAGTTGTTTTATTGGGCATTACAAAATAAAACTACAAAATAAAACATAGCATTTAACAAAAAAAAAAAAAAGATAATTCTTGACTACATCAAATCATATTTATATAACAACTAGGAAGGCCGTTAGAGGCATTGCCAACTCATCATTGATTTTTCATTGACCTGCAACTAGTGCAATGTAGAATAAAGCTGGAGATAATAAAAATTGATTTTATTTTGACAAAGGATCAAAATATTAGGACAAAATTTTAAATTGGACACAAAATTAACATAGAGTTGGAGAATTATTTACGCATAATCTTAGAAATACTGTTGAAAGAATGACTGATTCATCGACAATATTTTGCTGGCTTGTAAATAGTGCAATCTGGAATACTTTGTTAGAAATAGCACGAGTCTCAGAATTTGCATGTTTTGCCCCTCTATTACCTATGATTTATTATGTTATTTTGCAGGAGAAGGTTGGAATCATTGAATAAGGGGATTTCTCAAAGGAAAAATTGAAAGCACAGAAATATCTGAGGAAGATTTCTCAAAGGAAAATCAACTACTTTACTGTTTTAATTTGGGTAATTCTTGTTTTGTGCATTTATAAGGATTGGTGTTACCATAACAAGCTTAGATAGCCAATATGATTTATGAGGTTTGGAAGACCAGTCTGGATTGTGCCAAGAGCTGGTGGAGCTTTAAACTTAGGCTTCGTTTAGGATAATTTTTTTGTTATTTTTTAAAGCAATTTTTTAGTATACAAATTAAAATTTTTATACTAAAAAGCTGCTTCAAAAAGCAACAAAAAAATTGTCCCAATCGTTTAGAATGGCTTTTTTACTGTTTTTTAAAACAATCTTTTAGTACAAAAATTAATTTTTTTTAAACTATTTTAAAAATCATTAAAAAAAACCGTATCAAATGAAGCCTTATATCATTGAAGATTTGTCTTTATCATATGGTATATGAATTATTATGAGATAATTGAATTAGATAGTGGTAATAGTAATATGAGAAAATATTAACAAGTATATTCAAAGAGTTTTGGAATAATTTATACAAAAGAAAGTAATAAAGATTCAAATCCTCTTCAGTTGTATGATAATTTGTGGTTAAAATTGTTAGATTCCAACATTTAAATTTTTTTCTGAATGATTAGTTTATGATCTTTTTTGCAAAATTAAAATTGCTTTGAAAAAAAAAACAATCAATTCTAGTCTATAAAGTGGATTAAATGATTAAGATTTTGTTTGGGATAATTTAATTTTCTTACTATTTTGCTATTTAGATTTCAACGATAATGTTTATTTGTCTGTTGATTTTTTATTATCAAAAAATATTATATCAGAAGAAAGTAATCTCAAAAGAAGTCTAAGAATTTGTAATTTTACTCTCATATGATCATAATAATTAGATAGTTTCAATAACACATTTTAAATTTTGGTTTATGATCTCCCAACCAATTTTCTTATAGGAAGTGTTACCTTTATATTTGATTTCTGATATTTAAAATCTATTAATTTATTGTCAATCAAAAATTTATATAAAAATAAAACTTAAATTTTTTTTAAGACATTGTCTCTTAAAATTATATTTTTGCCATAGAACTTAAAAATTGAAAATATTATATTAATTTAGAAAAGAAAATACAATTTGAAGGTATTTATATAAAGGGAGATTTATATACATACCACTTAATACTATTCTATTTACATATTTAACACCTAAAATTTTAATATTATATACATACCACCTTTAGTTCATTTTAGAGTGGTATGCATCTAATATTAAAGTTTTAGGTGTTAGATATATAAATAGAATAATATTAAGTGGTATGTATGTAAATCTTAAATGTGAAATTTAGTAATAATATTCTAGAAGTTATTTTATTGTAAAGATCGTAAGATGGCAGTCAAAATTCTCTTAAAAAAATGGATAGCAACCTTATAAAATATTTTTAATAAAAAGTATATTAGAATATTTTAATATAATTCAGCATTTTGAGGCACTTATTCGAAATTAGTAGATATTTAATTTTTAGAGATAAAAATAACAAGCAATATTTTTTTTAGGATTAATGTTTTCTTATTTTAAATATTTTATTTTTTACTCTTCTTATACATTTAATATAATTACTTTTCCAATATTTTTCTCGCACCCTATTCTCATTCTGACTTCATAGTTTAGAAAAAAATTATTTTGTGCGAATGCCTAATGTCGTCCAAAGACCAATCAAAATGCGTCACGCCATCCCCTTGTTCGGTACCGCGGCTCGTGGCGCATTCTGGTTGGCCTCTTGACGGGGTTTTGCATCCGGCCTCCACACATAATAGTTTCTCCTTAGTTTGCGGGCATTGTTGGGAAGAATTTTTTTGGACAGCTTTTGGTCATTGCTTAATGAATTTTTTTTTTTTTTAATTTAAAGAAGTTGCTACTTTAGAAAGCATTAAGCAAAGCCTAATTCCCTAAGCTCGAAAACCTTTCTCGAGGGCTTCTTCTTTTGTCTTTATCTCGGTCTATGATGATGTCGTAGCTGAGCTGCTTAAAATATGTTAACTTCAGGCTAGCTTAATTCCATTTGATAGTTTATATGGATGTATAGTAATAGAGCTTTCTTTTACTGAATGTAACATATTATGTTGCTACATTTATCTATAAATATATAGCCAATACTTATAATAGAAAGATTTTTTAGATGAATAATATTTGAGTTGAGTTTTGTGTCTTTTATGTATCCTGAAGTATATTCAGGCGGCGGTTTCTTTCCAAAGAGTTCTTGGAGTTGTGTCCGGCGATGGCCACTGAATCATCGACGAGGATTCGTTGAGCCCCCTCCAATATGATATCATTTGGTATCAGAGCCGGTAGGCTCTTCGTGTTTTTGTTTTTTATATCCTGATTTGTCTCGAGGTGGTGGCTGCCCCTCTCCTCTCATCTCTAGTTACCGTAGTTGACCATGCACCCCTTCTGCCCTTGCTAAAAATCATCCTGGTCTTGTACTTATCGTCCAGCCCTCTTAAGCAAGAAATCACATACAACAAGTTGTCTTCTTCAATAAACTGCAAATTGGTGATGTTCACCAGCGCCCGCACCATATTCTCCTTCTGTCTTTTTATGTTTTGTTTGGGACTACTTTCTTATTGCTTTTTAAAACATTTTTTTTTATAAAAAAATAAAATGGCCTTAATTTGCGGGCACTGCTGTGCAGAATCTTCTTTTGGATGGCTCTTTGAACGAACAATTATTACGTCCTCCGACCGGACGTAAAGAAACGTCCGGTCGGAGGTCAAATCGCGCCAAAAAACGAGAAATACCGAGCAATACCAAACAATAACGAGGAATACCATCACGTGAAGACCCAATACCGAGTTATACCAAGCTATACCGAGCAATACCGAGTTATACAAAAGTTGTACCGAGTTTTTCCTAGAAAAAACTCGGTACAACTCAGTATTGCTCGGTATAGCTCGGTATAACTCGGTTTTGGTCTTCACAGAGCGGTATTCCTCGTTATTATCAAATAATACCTAGCAATATCGAGCAAATACCGAGTTTTTTGGCGGGATTTTGCCTCCGACCGGAAGTTCCTCTACGTCCTTACACCGGACCTAATAAAAGTTCATCTTGAACATTGCTTTTTCAATGGTTTTTTTTTTAATGGTATAAAAGAAGTTGCTGCTTTAGAAGCAGTAATAAAACCAAACGAAGCCTAAATCCCTAAAAGCTCGGAAACCTTTCTGGAGGGCCTGCTTCTGATTAATCTTATATAGGTCTACGAGTTCAGCAGGGTGAGGCTACTTCTATTGCAGCTAGCGTTATTCGTCGCAAACGAGTTGTGATGTATGATTGCATTACTTCTCCTTTTTTGCTTACTTTTTCTTTATAGATTTAAAAAATGATTGCAGATTTTATATAACAATTGCACAATCGTAAAAGTGACAGGAGTTTCGGTTCAGTTTTATTATGAATCAATGTAGTTTTCTAATCTTCAGACTTGGATATTAACCAAAGCCCTATATGGGTTTAGGTTGGGTACCCATGTTTTACTCAGACGGGCTTCACCCACCCACATCCACCCATGGTTACTTTTGGGATGTCGTACCCACATATACCCACCCATTTTTCATGCTTGTTGAACGCGGTCGCCACGGACTGATGGTCTTGAGGCTTATTGCCCTTTGTTCTAATTGCAAACTTTCAAACCACATATCAAAATTTACTGTAGTCGCAGCATGATTAAGTGTTACATACTACGTAGTGAGAATTACAGTAAGATAAGATATACGGTGATTATTAATGTAAATTAATTTATCCCTCGATGTTGAGTACCCACTCATACACACCCATAAGGCCATGTGCGTACACATACCCACCCACATCAATGGGTCGGTACATTGTTGGGTTTGGGTATAGGTACCCAATGCAGGGCTCTGATATTAACACATTTATCAAATCTCATGCATATGCAATTATTTTAGATAGTTTGATATATGGCACACGCTCTTTGCTGCATATGTAAATCTTATTTGCATATAACACATGCGGGTGAAATTATTTTGTGCAAACACCGAATGCCATCCGAAGAACAACCATAATGAGCCATGCCAGTGGTACTGAACTCGGTACCCGGCTCGCTCGGTACCGCAGACGTGGCACATTCTAGTTGATCATCAAATGATAAATTATGTTCGGCATCCGCACATAATAATCTCTTCACACACAGAGACACGCAACTCTTAAAGATTTTTTTGAGAGTTCGAGTTTATATCTTTATAATAATGATGATATGATAACAAAGAGGGAGACAAACAAAGAAACATTCATCAAAATAATAATAGCTAATGTGAAGTTTCCTTTGTTTCTATTGATTATTAATATAAATAAAATTTTGATAAATATCTTTCTCATCCAAAACATTTTCCACGAAAAATAATGAATCCTTTTTACGCTCAGATTCTTCTTCATCTCCTCTGCTTCCTCAGCTTATCGTTCAGCCATCTCCACCCGCTCGATCCTCTGAAGCCCTCCGAAATCTGCGCCATCCGCACCATAATCAAATCTTCCCTTCTTGGCTCCTCGGATTCGCCCTTCGGCTTCCACTACGTCGGTCTCGACGAACCCGACAAATTAGCCGTTCTATCATGGCAGTCAGACCCCTCTTCCCATCCGCTCCCTCCCCGCAGGGCATTCGTAATTCTGCGCGCCGGTGGCCAAACCCATGAGCTATACATCGACGTCGCCAACAACTCTATCGCATCACATAGCATCCACTTGGGAAGCGGCTACCCGATGGTCAATTTGGAGGAACAGAGCGCGGTAGCATTGCTTCCCTTCAGCTATAGCCCCTTTGTTGAGTCTGTGAAGAAGAGAGGGGTTGAGCTAAGGGAGGTATTATGCACCACCAACAGCGTGGGGTGGTATGCGGAGAGGGTTTATGATGGGAGGAGGGTGATGAAGCTTCAGTGCTTTGTGGCGGGGGGAACTGTCAATGTTTACATGAGGCCACTCGAAGGGATTACAATTTTGGTGGATTTGGAGGCTATGGAAATTGTGGAGTATAAGGACAGATTTGTTGTTCCGGTGCCGGTGGCGGCGGGCACGGATTACAGGGCTTCAACGCAGATACCGCCCTATGGGCCTAGAGGGAATCGGGTGGTGGTGGCACAGCCAGAGGGCAAGGGTTTTACGATTCAGGGCAACTTGGTAAGGTAAAACAACTCCATGCTAATAAAATTTAGGTCAAGATGGATTTTCTGAGCAATTTTTTATCGATATTTTCGCCATTTGATATGTTTTTAGGATGAATGAAATGCATAAAGATGTGTTACACTTCAGGTTTCATTCATCTCAAAAACACATCAATTATTCAGAAACTTGAATTCCCTGGGCATCCTAACCTAATTTTTCATTTTTATTTTACCGATTCCTAATACTACTACCCTGCAATGAGACTGATTGGGGGATTTATGATCTGTAAAGTGAAGTTCCAATATATTCATTCCCAATGCAGTAACTAGAAAGATTGTTGACGAGTAAAACAATAAGAGTCAAGAAAAAATCACCTCCTTGGAGCTAGCTAGCAAAATCTCATCAAATACTTGGCTTTGTCAAGCAGATGGGCGAATTGGGAGTTTCACGTTGGCTTTGACGCCCGGGCTGGTCTGGTTATCTCCCTTGCATCAATTAGCAATGAAGATAATAGCAGATATCATAGTGTTCTGTACAAAGGTTTTGTCTCGGAGCTTTTCGTTCCCTATATGGATCCATCAGAGGAATGGTATGACAAGACATTCTTCGATAACGGAGAGTACGGATTCGGGCCGTACTCATCTTCTCTTAAACCAACGATCGACTGCCCAACCAACGCCGAATATATGGAGGGCTATTATGCCAATGGCGATGGCTCACCGGTGCGCATTCCCAATGTCTTCTGCATCTTTGAACGATATGCAGGGGATACTTCCTGGCGTCATACGGAAATTATGCTTCCAGAAATAGTAGTAAGCAGTTATTTATGTAAAAGAATTTTCTTAGCTGTGAGATTATTGTAATATCTGCAACTGTGCATGCAACTTGGCTATGAATGCAGATCACGGAAGCTAGAGAGGAGGTGAGCTTAGTGGTGAGGACGGTGACCACATCAGGGAATTACGATTACGTCTTCGACTGGGAATTCAAGACCAGTGGCTCCATCAAAGTTTTGGTAAGCTAGCAGACTTTTCCTTTATATTCTCATTTATAATTTAATCCTGCCATACGAGGATACTTGATTTGCAAACCTTTAAATGAAACCAAGATTTAGATTAGCGTTGGAGAAAAGGATTCAGATCTTCTATTATTGAATGCATATAATTCGGTTATTAATTTCATCTATTCAATTTACTTGGAATAACTGAGATTTAGTTTTTTTTATATGACTTTTTATTGCTTCTTAAAGTAATTTTTTAAGTACAAAATTAAACTTTTTGTAGTTAAAAAATAATTTAAAGAAGAAGTAAGAAAACAGTCCCAAACGAAACCTTGTTCTGACCATCTCCTTCGAAAGCACTAGCTAAATTGGATGACAGATATTTGTAGCTACGCAAGGCAAACTATAAGCCCTTTTGACTGACAAAGCACATTCCTTCGACTAATTTATCTAGTATCTGCAGCTCCTGTGTCACTGCGTTAATGTCACCAACGCCATCCAAGACGATCCCATCGTTCAACTCTCTTTCTCTCCATTTCTTTCTGTAGAAGAGAACTTCCACTCTCTCTCTCTCTAAAAATTAAAAAATCTGCATATAAATATACTTGATATATCAGCAAAAAATTATCTTGATCGGGCAGGAATCTCGAGGCAAAATCAAGCCGGAAATTTCAAATATTAAATCTGGGATCATATGAACTCCGATAAGCAAACTTACAGTTGAACTGAGCGTCTCGAAAATACAAACCCAACGACACCAAATTCAACTCAATCTGAGCCCAAATGAGTCCGAATCGAAGACCCGAAGCGCTGTTGGAAGGTTCAAACCATAATTTTGATTACCAAACGGTTTCCAAACATGACATGCTTATAGTCGAATCGAGCGGCTCGACGAGACGAATCCAACGAGCCCAAGATCGCCGAATTCCGATATCATTAAGACCTTCAAATGTCTGACAAATGGTTCACGATCAAGGGATTCAATATCGGCTATCCATCCAAACCACTCCCCATTTGCCCTTGATCCTCCTCCTATTTACAGGTCATGTCATCCTCAAATAATTATAAATAGCCCCTCATTTCTCTTGAGAGGGGACCCAACTAAGAAGAAGAAGAGAATAAGGAAAAGAGAAGAGAAGAAGGGAAGGAGGGAAGAAACTCCTCGACCACCGCCGGAGTTTTGCTCGACGTCCAATTCGTTAAAACTCTCCTCAACGCCCCAAAGAAAGAAAGGGGTCGTAGTGAGACTGGGGTGCGAATTTTCAGAGCCCAAAATAAGTTCACTTCCCTTTTTAGAAAAATAGGATTATGCTAACTGCCTACAATTGGTTGTCCTGGTGACCTTGGATTATACTCTTACCATTGATTTCTGGTCATCCATTCTACCCCCATTTGTTTAGGAGAAGATTTTCCTTTCTACCTTCAATTTTTCGTGGATTTTGATCTTTCGAGGTTGCCTAGATTGCCTCTAGTTGCATGAGAAATTATTAGGTGCTACGTTCGAACATAGCTCACGTCTAGACTCCAATGTTTAAAGATCATGTGGCTTGTACGCACCTTATTTACAAGCCACGTGGCTTAATTTCATTGGAGTTCGGACGCCTCAGTACTCCACGTGCAATTATTTCACCCAGTTGCACATTGATTTTGGTTATCTAGTTCACACCTTATAACAGGAGTACTTCTTACTTATTACCTTTCATCATTGTGTGCGTAAACACCTATGGATTTGCTAATCTTCCTACTCGATTGGGCCTATTACAATATGCTATTTTATTCTCTTAGTTCTAGAAGAGCAATCAATTACAATTCATGATTGAAATTAGTACAATTTGTTCTCATTAGGCAAAATCCTATAATCTTTTTTTGTTTTCTAAGTTTTCGTGTAAAAAAAAATCATATTTCTCATTCTTCTTTTCATTTTTATTATGTGTGGGCAATCATTTGAGATTAAGACATGAATTCTCTGTAGATACAGTCAGTTGTACACAAGAAATTTAAATAATCAAAAATCATTCTAAATATCTTAATGACCTTACATACATCATATTTGAAAATTTTCTAATACATTTTTTCCCCTATAAACATTTGTAGTTGCAATAACAATTTAAAAACACTCTTTAACAAATCAATGCAAATTGTTTATAGCTAGAAATTCTCAGCAGTAATACTCTAACCATAAAAAAAGTTGATTGTTGACATATATCTTACTAGTTTTCAATCAGGCTGGGCTCACAGGATTGCTTCAGATCCGTGCCACAGATTACACTCAGTTCGATCAGATTATCACCGAGCAACATGGAGAATTAGTGGCACCCAACACTATAGGCGTTTACCACGACCACCATGTTACCTACCACCTTGACCTCGACGTCGCCGGCCCAGTAAACTCTTTCGTTAAGGCCAGCCTCCACACAGTGAGATCAAAAGATGAAACCACACCGAGGAAGAGCTACTGGACCGTCATCAAAGAGACGGCGAAGACCGAGGCCGACGGTCGGGTGAAGCTTAGCGCAGAACCACCAGCCGAGCTGCTGGTAGTGAACCCTGGAGTGAAGACTAGACTTGGCAACGCGGTTGGCTACCGACTGATCAGCAGTGGCGCGGCAGCTACGTCTCTTCTGACAGATGATGACTATCCTCAAATAAGAGCAGCTTATTCAAAGAAGCAATTGTGGGTGACGCCATATAATAAGAGCGAGAAGTGGGTTGCTGGACTCTATACAGACCAAAGCCGCGGCGAGGACAACTTGGCAGCGTGGAGCATGAGGTGAGTTGATAGCTAGTTTGCTTGAAATCCTCTTCTGCGGATGGAGATGTTTAGAGATCAATCAGAATGCTTCACATGAGCGGTACCGAGCCTCGATACCGAGCACATGGGTGACGTGGTGCATTTTGATTGGTCTCCGGACGGCATTCGGCGTCCGCACAGAATAATTAATCGAACTTCGAGGCCATCTCACTAGAATTTTCATAGTTAACCTTACGAATTTTCTGGTTTTGATGCAGGAACCGACCCATTGAAAATACAGATATTGTATTGTGGTATACAATGGGCATCCATCACATTCCCAGCCAAGAAGATTTTCCATTAATGCCAATGTTGACATGTGATTTTGAGCTTCGTCCATTCAATTTCTTTGAGAGGAATCCATTGATCAATACTAAACCTTTCAATAATGGATATTGGGCCAATTAGAAGGTTGACAATTGCAAATTCACAGAGGTAACATACGAGGTTTAGCACCACTGTTTGATTAGTGTGTTAGTTCCATGCCGTATTTCAACTATTTTTATCCATGTTTTACAATTTTTGTCTGTCGCAGCTCTATTTAAGATGCCATTATCTTCCCTAGATCTATGAAGTTCATAATATATCTCTTAACCTCATATTTATATGTTTAAGAGGGTTACAGAAAAGATTACAACTAAAAAGATAGAAACGTACTAATATATGTGACCAGTACATATATTGACACATCAATTGAGTTGAATGGGGCCTAAGAGAGCCCCTGACTAGTGTCTTAGGAGAGTTTTCTAGGCGAGTCTATAGGAATAAGTATACGAGACAAGTCTATGAAATTGAGTCATTCTGGTTAAGCGGCGAAACCTTTAGGTTGAGTGGCAAGTCTCCTAGGCGATCATGATTGTGATTTGAGGACGAACATAGCCGACGAAGTCACAATATGTTCGTCCTCAATTCACAATCAGGGCTCATGTAGGTGCATGTTTCCTTTAGCTTTGATTGGGTCATCCATGGAAGATGAATGGCTTTAGTTAAGGATAATTGTTGAGGGGAGTGACTTCTTCTATGGCAATTACTCTTTAGGGCAAAGGCCTATTTGGGAAAATCTTTTTAAAAATGATGAACATGATAAAATTAAATAATTATTTTTGTATTATTTAAGGAAAGCCCTTTCAAAGTATTTTAAGCACTAAAAATTTATTAAAATATTTAATTTAGGTAAATTACTGTGTTCATCTTTGTCCTTATTATACTTCACATGCACATAACATGCCAGTAATTGTTGCGTGCTAGAATATACGCGGCGGTAGAGTTTGTAAATTCGCATCCAAGCGTTGCACGAGTATTCAGCACACAAACAGAAAAGAGGATACGAACACCAGAATTTTTACGTGGAAAACTCAAAAAGGGAAAAACCACGGGGCCTCGCCCAGTTGAAAAATTCCACTAGTGTTTGTATGAAATACAAAGGTTGATCCGTCTTACAAATCAAGACGATCAGTTTACAATCAACTTCCACAAAGTTATAAAGTTCTACAAAGTTTGCGAGAGGTACGGGGATCGATACCCCGCATCTCCACCAAAACTGTTGCGTGCTAGAATATACGCGGCGGTAGAGTTTGTAAATTTACGTCCTAGCGTTGTACGAGTATTCAGCACATAAGCAGAAAAGAGAAGTGAACACCAAGGTTTTTACGTGGAAAACCCGAAAGAGGGAAAAAATCACGGGGCCTCGCCCAGTTGCAAAGTTCCACTAGTATTTGTTTGAAGTACAAAGGTTGATCCATCTTACAAATCAAGACGATCAATTTACAATCAACTTCTCACAAAGTTACAAAGTTCTGTAAATTCCCTGCGTTTCCCGAAAATCCGACAGAGTTCCGGCGTCTTCAGACAGCAGGAAAAGCTCCGGCGGTGATCGAGGAGGAGCTTTTTCCTTTTCCTACTTCTCTTCTTCTTCTCTCTCTTCACTTATTAATTCTTTTTTGAACAGTTCCTTAAGGTGAACAAAATCTTGGATGGCTGGAACGATGAGTTCGTGAAGGTCAAATACCTTCAGGGAGAATACAAGAAGAAATACGACGGCAGAGTGAAAGAGGTGGAGATGGTGGAAAGTCAACTCGATCAATGTAGAGCAGAATTGGCGAACAAGATCGCTTCAGCTTCTTCCCAGAATGAGCGGTTGGATCGTTTGTATATACAGTTAGTGGAGGCAGAGGCAACAAACAACCAACAACTGAAAAATGTGCGGATCCTAGAGGCTGAAAATAAGAAGCTCTTGAACAAATTGTCGGAGAAGGTAGCTCAATTGTCACCATCTGCAGCCGTAGATGAGTTCAAAAAATCTTACACTTTTAAGATTTTTATCGATGATCAAGTCCAGGAAGTTTTCGATTATTTTTATGACGTAAAGGTGAAGGCTTTAGAAGCAGAGCTTATGCAGGATGGCTTCATTAAAGTCTTCATGAAGGGCGTTCGTGCAGTGCAACGCGAGAACGGAGGGGAGATTGAGGGGTTGACTCCGAGCCAGGCTTATGGTGATCATTCTCTAGATTCTGGCGGCGAAGAATTAGAGAGTGATTTGCAAAAGATCTTCGCGTTAGAAGAGGACGACGATGATGATCTTGAGATTCTATAGTGGTCGATATGCTCGTACGGGTCGGACGTTCCTTCGTAAGACTCGATGTTGGGTAGCTTAAATCTAGCCGGAATGGGATGTTGTAGTATGACCTCAGTTAAAGGTGATGATTCCTGAAAGTCTCTCTCTCGGAGAGTTTGTCTCGCATCCCCTTGGGGGAATTCTTCCCTTACCAATTTTCGCAGTTCGTGACGCAGTGCGTCGTGAGGGAGCTCCACTCCATGTGGTTGAGCAAAGTCTTCAGGGAGATCTGGGAGGATGCAAGGCTGTCGAATTGAAGGTGGAGGATGTGTAGAACTTGCCGTATCGACAAGTTCATTATCCTGTCGAGACTGAGGAAATCTTCTAAGTGGGGGGAGATGAACTTCTGCTTGAAGATGCTCAAATTGGACATCCTCAACTCGTGGTGGATTCTAGGGGAGAAAAACTTCCTCCTGTTGTGCTAATGCCGGCTGCCGATTCTCTCGCAGGAGTTGAAGAATCTCGTTCTGAGATTCTTCCATTTTCTGAATTCTTTCTTCCAAAGAAGGTCCCGAGGTCCTTTCTCCGGCAGCATTCTGCCCCCTAGGATGCAAAGATGCTGACATTGGTCATCGATGGTTAATAGACGGATTTCTGGACTGACGAGAGTTGGAGCGAGAAGCTCCAACTAAACGACTGCTGCGCCTATTCACCATCGTAGCAGTACTCGAAGTAGTGGGATAGTGTTTCTCACAGATGACAGATTTCTCGACTGCTCCGACTTTCTGACGGTTAAGGCTTCCGCTATTTGCGAGTGAGAAATTTGCCCTGCTCGAATTAGCGCCCCTCCTCGCGTGCAGAGGCTTACGAGATTTTTCTTCCTTTCCCCACGGCTTTCTGCCGGTTGAGGCTTCCGCTATTTGCGAGTGGGAAATTTTCCATGCTCGAATTAGCGCCCCTCCTCTCGTACAGGAGTTACGGGATTTCTTCTCCTCCCCCCGGCTTTCTGACGGTTGAGGCTTCCGCTATTTGCGAGTGGGAAATTTTCTCTGCTCGAATTAGCGCCCCTCCTCTCGTGAGGCAATCGAAATGGGTGATCGCACTTCTACCAAAGATGTTTCCGTTGTGGAAGATCGTCCTACTGCGCGTTCAGAGGGTTCGAAGAAGGCTCCTAAGGCGACAAAAGCCGACAACGTTATCTCCACCATTACCGAAGAATCTTTCATTTCTTTTAGGAAAAAGTTTCATTTTCCTAATGACTTGGTGATGAAGGTGCCGGTGAGATCTGAGCGTGCCTGCTTCCCTCCCCAGGGATACGTGACAATGTACGAGTTTAGTTTGCGAGCGGGGTTGCGATTTCCGCCGCCGCCTGAACTGGTTGATATCCTGACGGCTTGTGCATTGAGTTTGTCTCAATTCTCCTATCGGGCTATGTCCGTTGTAGTGGGTCTGATCGTATTTTTCAGAGACCACAGAGCAGTATTGTCTACAGAATGTTTATCCTGGATGGGGCGTATTTATACTGATCCGCGGGTCGAATTTCCTTTAAATCCAAGTGGTTGGATGTTCGTACTTGGGATCCATCCAAAGATTGGATTAGCGATTTTTTCTTTGTGCAGAATGATTGGAGCCTCCAAGAAAGATGAGGAAAGTTAAAGGAGCTACCTATTCCCCTTCATATTGGAACGGAAGACTTGTTGAGTATGTTGAAGCTTCCTGATATCGAAGCAACGCTATGACTGATAGTATTTGCGAAGGTTGCCCACGTTCCAAGTTCGGGTAAGCATTCTTCCGTTGGCATCTTTTAATTTGAAGGTTCCATGCTTGACCACAACCGCCACCAAGTAAGGACCTTCCCATAGTGGGGAGAGCTTATTGGGTTGAGGTCCTTTTCCAGCAGCTTCGATGCTTCGCAGAATTAACTCCCCAATGGAAATAGTTCGAGATTTTACTCTTCGATTGTAGTGACGAGCGACCCGCTGGTGGTATGCAGCGATCCTGAGTGAGGCTATATCTCTTGCCTCGGAGAGGAGGTCAACTCACCAACTCTTCGGCTCGTCGACGACCGATGCACTTATGTTTCAGAACATCCTCTGGAATGTATATCCTGGACGGAGAAAAGCGAGGGCCCTTGCCGGCAACTGTAAAAACTTCGTTCGACTTCTTCTTCTTAGGCGTATGTGAATCTCCCTCGCCCTCAGGTCGCTTGGGTTGAGTTTTTTGGGCCTCCGGGACTTTTGCGGATATCTTCAACTTCTGCGCATGCGACCTCCCTGCATGAGTGGATATTCTCACCTTGAATAAATATTCCTTGTCTAAACATTTGCTAAGAGAACGCATCTCATAATGAAGAGCTTCGATATCAGGAAGCTTCAACATACTCAACAAGTCTTCTGCTCCAATATGAAGGGGAATAGGTAGCTCCTTCAATTTTCCCCATCTTTCTTGGAGGCCCCAATCATTCTGCACAAAGAAAAAATCGCTAATCAAATCTTTGGATGGATCCCGAGTACGAACATCCAATCACTTGGATCTAAAGGAAATTCGACCCTGCGGATCAGTATAGATACGTCCCATCTGGGATAAACATTCTGCAGACAATACCACTCTGTGGTCTATGAAAAATGCGATCAGACCTACTACGACCGACATAGCCCGGTAGGAGAATTGAGACAAACTCAATCCACAAGCCTTCATGATATCAACCAGTTTAGGCGGCGGCGAAAATCGCAACCCCGCTCGCAAACTAAACTCGTACACTGTCACGTATCCCTGGGGAGGGAAGCAGGCACGCTTAGATCTCGCCGGCACCTTCATCACCAAGTCATTAGGAAAATGAAACTTTTTCCTAAAAGAAATGAAAGAGTCTTCGGTAATGGTGGAGATAATGTCGTCGGCTTTTGTCGCCTTAGGAGCCTTCTTCGAACCCTCTGAATGCGCAGTAGGACGATCTTCCACAACTAAAATATCTTTGGTAGAAGTGTGATCACCCATTTCGATTGCCTCACGAGAGGAGTGGCGCTAATTCAAGCAGGGAAAATTTCTCACTCGCAAATAGCGGAAGCCTTAATCGTCAGAAAGCCGGGGGAGGAGAAGAAATCCCGTAACTCCTGCACAAGAGGAGGGGCGCTAATTCGAGTAGGAAAAATTTCCCACTCGCAAATAGCGGAAGCCTCAACCGTTAGAAAGCCGTGGGGGAAGTAAGAAAAATCTCGTAAGCCTCTGCACGCGAGGAGGGGCGCTAATTCGAGTAGGAGAAATTTCCCACTCAAAAAATAGCGGAAGCCTCAACCGCCAGAGAGTTAGAGGGAGAAAGAGAAAGAAGGTGCAAATTTTCTAAAGGCCTAGGGGGCCTATTTATAGGTTTTTGAGGAAGAAGTGAGAAGTTATTGCCATTTTCGGATTTATCTATTTTTAGAAAAATTTTATTTTTGGAATTTTTAGGCATTTTTTTGGGAATTTTGTAACTCCAAAAATAATTAAAACCTGCTATTTTCGGTAAAATGGGGCCCACAAAGGCGGTGGGCCGAACCGCCTCTTCTCTCTCCTCAAAACCGCGCGGAATTTTTTAGGCATTTTTTGTGACGCCGTATCACTAATAATTTTATTTTGCTTTTTTTTTTTAATTATGATAAAAAAAATTTCAATAGTTATAATAGTGAATTTGTTTTCTTCACAAAAAATTTACAATCAACTTTATAGAATGCCGCGGCCGCCCCAAACATATTCATAATCTCATAAAGAAAAACAAAACTAAAGAGATCTAATATGCAATTGATGTGCTAAACCAAGAGATTGAATGCACGGAAAATTTTAAAAGACAAATTGAAGTTATCAATGAAGTTATTAAAGTAGAAATTAATCAAACATGGTTTTTAGATGTTTCAGCATCGGTACATGTTGAGAGTAATACAAGAAAAAATCAGCATAAAAAATATTAATAAATTAAATCACTTCATAATTATGTCTTTTCATTATTATTTTATTTATGAAGAATTAAGATTTGTTTGAGATAATTTTTTTGCTATTTTATTTTTAAGATAATAATCATAATTTTGTTTGCTAGTGCTTCTTAGAATTTTTTTGTGATGAAAAATTATTTTTTACGATCGTAATAATAAAATTATTTTCTTCATAATAATAAAAAATTGTAAAAAAATAAAATAAAACTGAAAATGTAATAAAATTTATAAAAATATTCTTAATCAGCAAAGCTTAGAAAGAGGATAAGTACTAAGAGAAGTTTGTTGGATAGGATAGTGATGATGATAGTTGAACTTTAAAGAAGGAAAGTGAAGGATAAGAAAGAAGAGGACGAAATAGAGGATTCAGCTTTGTCATCTCGAGAACTTCACGAGGAAGGACAGTTGGATCCTCCTTTTGATCTTTCATCATTTATTCCATTTGAAGAAAAAGAGGATCCTTCAAAATAATATTTATTTTTTTTTTCTATTTAATTATTTGTATTTAATTGTTATGTCCAATATTATTTTAATTATTATGTATTTAAGTCCTTATATTTATTTATCACTAATATTAAATTATTTAAAATGAAATATAATTTTTTCAATTTGGGGTTTGATGATGATTCAATCTTCATATTGTAATATTAATTAATTAATAACAAAGTACAACACAACAATAATGTGATGAAAATAACAAAATTCTAAATAGCAATGGCAATCAAAGCCTTAGGGTTGATGTGTTAACCCGTTAATTTCAATTGAGTTTGCACAAATTTTCAATAAGAACAAAATGTGAGATGGTACCATGTTGAATTCGAGCGAATTATCTCAATCTCTATATCGAGAAGTTGCAAATGATTGATTTTGAGCCGAGTCGAATTTTTACTCTATTATAGTTACATCTCTTAGGTTTTGTTTGTGACAGCTTCTTTATTGTTTTTTAAAGTAAATATTTAGCACAAAAAATTTTTTAACTCAAAATTTTGTATTATAAAGTTGCTTTAGTAAAGAATAAGAAAGTTCTCTCAAAAGAAGATTTAGGCTTCGTTTGGGATGGCTTTCTTGCTGCTTCTTAAAACAGTTTTTTAATATAAAAATTTTATTTTTTGTACTAGAATGCTTTAAGAAGCAATAAAAAAGTTGTTTCAAACGAAGCCTTAGGCATCAAAAATATTTTCTATTTTCATAATAAATTAAACTGACTTAAAGTTAATCTTCATGGGGTAATTCAATTGCCCCTATTTTCAGTTGAATTTGCAAATTCAATACATGAAAAAAGAATTCTGAATTAGGGTAAAAATGCTTAGATCATTCACTGATCACCTTATTTTTATGACATCATTCAGTGATTAAAAAAGATGAATATTAATAAAAAGTACAGGACAATATAATTTTATCTTAAGAGCAAAAATACATTTTAATTTCCATCTATAGTACCAAAACAGTTGTCACATAATGTTTATATCATTTTTTCCCTCTTTTGCAACCTAATCATTATGCTGTTTATATTCTAAGATTAATCCAACTTAGACTTAGGTTTCGTTTGAGACGGTTTTTTTATTGCTTTTTTAAATGAAGTTTTAGTAAAAAATTAAAATTTTGATTCTAAAACTCCGTTTTAAGAAGCAACAAAAAACCCGTCCGAATTGAAGTCAGGTTGTCACAACTTACTTATTGTTTTTTTAAAATAGCTTTTTAATACAAAAATTTAAAATTTTATACTAAAAAATTGATTTAAAAAACAGTAAGAAAGCCAGCTCAAATGATGCCTTAATAACCAAACAAATTTTTTTTAGATAGAAGAAAATGGCATAAATTTTTTTTATCACAAGCATGAACATTGAGAGGAAAAAGCACCAAAAATTAATAAGAATCATCAATCAATGATACAAGATAATTGATTAATAAATATAAATATTTAATCAAAAGTACAAACAATGTAATTTTATTTTAAACAAAAAAAATTACAATTTAATTTCATTCTATGTACAAAACAGTTGCATATAATGTTTATGATCAAATATTTTTCTTCTATTTCAACCTAATTATTATGTTATTAATATTCCAATACTCCAACTAATTAATCAATCTTTTCTTTTCTTTTCTTTCTTTTTACTTAGCTAGAAGAAAATGGTAGAAAATTTAAAAAAAATGATCATGAACTTGAAGATAGAGAAGAACAAGAACTAAAACTTAGTTGATAGAGTTGAAGGTATAAATTCTTCAATCTATGAAAACATTTTCAATCAGAGAAACACAAATGATCATACATGTAATCCAGATCAAATTCAACAATCAAAACATATTCAATCATCCTTTTAAAAGAATTTATGATAAGAACAAGAAAAAAAAATTGAAGTGAGCAAATTATAGGAATCATGGAGACCTGAAAGCCTGAATCAGCAAAGAAAATCCAACAGTCCCCTGTTCTTCCAGCCACAGCCTGCTCTCCAGCGAGCTCCGCTTCCTAAACATGAACACAGATTGCCCAACCATGCCGCTAAACCACCATCCATACATGTCCCACATCACGTCTACAGGCGAACCATCAATGAAGATTGTTTGATTTCCTCTGAAATTCCAGTTCAGTTTCGTCGCATGAACAACTCTCTTCTTATCTATGAAAACAAAGAGCTCGGCGTCTTTTCCGTCGTTCAATCCTCCGCCTCTGCATCTAATGGTGATCTCATGGTCGACTATCTCGCCGTCACCGAACCGAGCTCTGGTTATTGAGTACAGAGTTCGCCCAACAACTTGTTCTTTTCTACATATCATGGAGAATTCTGCAATCGGGAGTTTTTCGGAGAATTTATTGAGGAATTCTTCAATTTGGTCTCCGAGAAGCAGAGCGAATTCAGAGTCAACTATGACTGCAACATAAAAGTTGTTAATGGGGTCTGGTCCTTGGTCGAAGGTTGCGGAGGAGAAGTCCCAGTGGAGGGAAATGGAGGAGGAGGAGGCGAGGAAGGATTGTTTGCCTTTCTTGTTTGCAAGAAAAACGGGTTTCCATGAATGGAGGAATTCCGGGAAGGAGATGGAGAGGGAGGTGGATAATTGATTTCTCGACCAGGTAAGGTTGATGAGCAGGGGATTAATGCCGGAGGAGAGTTTGGATTTGAACAACAATGTGGTGGAGATTTGGATTGAAGGCTGATCAGTTGAAGGACTGCGGCTGGTGGAGCTGCGGCAGCCGCCTCCGCCGGCGGCAGCGCTGATTGGGAAGATGCTGTGGCTGCTGTTGCCGGAGCAGGAGGCATCGGAGACTTTGATGGCGTGGTCGCTGAAGCAAAAAGTTAAGTCTCGCATGGTGGGGTGCTGAGCTCCGCATGGCAGTTAGGTTGCTGTATTTTAAGTCATAAGGTGGAGGGTTGGAAGCCCTAAACATTATCTTAATTCAAATTATATCATCTGAAAATTATTCATTTTGTTTTCAGATTAAAATATATAAATTCTTCATATGATATTATTATTATTATTAAAATATATTTCAATATAATTTATATTAGAATATTTTATTATAATTTATTTTCTTAAAAAAATATCTTCAAATAAAAATTTAAGCCAAAAAAGAAAATGAATGGCTTTTAATACTCCCATTGAATATGCATGAAATTGAAAATTATGGTTTCGTTTGGGACGGGTTTTTTATTGCTTCTTAAAGTGACTTTCTAGTACAAAAAGGAAGTTACTTTAAGAAGCAGTAAGAAAGCTGCCCCAAATGAAGCCTAATGTGGTGATATTATTTAATGAATTCCTTTGGTTGTGATTTGGATTTAATTTTGTTTATTGAGAAGGAACAATTACTAGGTCTGGTGACCGGACGTAGCTCTAGCTCTACGTCCGGTCACCACTGAGTTACCCGGTATTTGCTCGGTATTGCTAGGTATTGCTTGGCAATAACGAGAAATACAGCTCTGTGAAGACCAATACGGAGTAATACCGAGCAATACCGAGTTTTTCTAGAAAAAACTCGGTATTGCTCGGTGTTGCTCAGTATTACTCGGTATTGCTCGATATTTTATCTTCACATAATGTTATTTCTCGTTATTGCCGAGCAAAATCGACAAATACATGATTTTGTGCCTGCTACGTGGCGCGATTTAGTGCCGGCCGAACGTAGTTCTACGCCCTTTCACCGGACCAAATAAAAGTTCATTGAGAAGGGAGGGAAAAAAAGTGTTTTTGGATATGGGTTAAAGTAGGGATTGTAGGGTTTAGGGTTCTTTATTGTTATGATTTGGTTGAATTTACAACCATCAATAGAAAAGGTTAGTAATGGCAGGCTTAAAAATGGTATGGAGTCATTTAGTGACAGGTATAGAGGTAGTAGATCTTATTGGTAGGTAACAAATATCATTACATATTAGTGCAATTTTATTTTAATGGAATCAGAGGTATAATTTAATTTATGATTGATCATTGATGGATTCCATCAACAAAATAGGTAAAAATTACAAACTATTTTGAGCTTGTCATTACTATCATTTAGGAGGAATTTAAGGCAGTCAAGCATCAATAAAAGTAAATTACAAGTAGAATCTACCATTGATAGGCATCAAAAGTTTAGATCCATGAGTTTTTGAATCAAGTATTGGATGATTTGTTCTTCATAGTTATGAGAGAGAATGGTTGTGCAAGACTTCTCTACCTATGATAGAGGGAAATTGGTATTGGAGTACTCATGTTATGAACAATAAGCAAAGTTCTTTTGGACTTCACACATAGGCTTCATTTGGGACGGCTTTCTTCCTGCTTCTTAAAACAGCTTTTTAGTATAAAAATTAAAAATTTTGTACTAGAAAGCTGCTTTAAGAAACAGTAAAAATGCTGTCCCAAATAAAATCATAGTCTTGGTTTGCATCACCTTATTTGCTTTAGGGTTTATATGCTCTATTGTAGCTTGTGATTGCTTGACTATTGTGGACGTATGATGACTATAATCTAGTTTTGTTTAATTACTTGAATGAAATAGAATTGTCTGTGAAGATTATGAGATTGATGGGAACTCTAATTCACCCCCACCCTCTTGTGCAATAGGCCAACTTGATCTTCAAATATTTCAAACCATTAAACAAGTAATATGATAGAACATTAACATCCTAAAAAGAAGAATCTCACCAAACTTGTATTTTTTTGCAGTCACCCAATAGAATTGTCTATGCGGACATCGGATGTCGTCCGGAGGCAAATCAAAGCACACCACGTCACTTCTTTGATGTGTACCGCAATTGTATACAGAGTGACGTGGCGCGCTATGATTCACCTCCGGGCACCAAGCTACATCCAGTATCTGCACAAACTAATTTCTCCTAAGATAGTCCAAGAAAGGGAGGATAAAATATTTAACTTTGAAAAACCATGAGAAGTGTATACAAGTGCAATAGAGAGAAACTCCTGTAACAGAACATTCTTTCAAATAAGTCTTCTTTAATCCCAACAACAGGTTCAACAAATGATCAAACATCTAAATTGAATTGGTATTGATGGAAAAGACCACAACTGTGACAACAACTAGCAGTTAAGTTTTTGCCTCCATGTTTATCTCTAATAGAAACTGATGGAAAAATGCCATTCACCATGATTCGAAGAAGAAACATGATAAGTAGTTGAACTCCGTTACTATATATATTCTGTTAAAATATCCTCAGTTGCTCAGCACTATCAACTCAATGCAGTGACCTTGCACCCAAAATTACTGACCACCAACATTGAGGCCGGCTAGCATACCATTTGTATTCCTAATTTCTTTTGTACAACATAAGATGACCTCCTCTTCATGAAATAATTCTTACAACTAAGTTTACATGTTGTATTGTTTCGATAGGATAAAAGTCTGACTCCACAACTTAAAACATGAAACGCAGTATAAGATTAAATAATACCATTTCTGTTAAATTTACTTAAATTTTTGTGTGGTTGAGGGCTTCAAAAATTTGCGCCCCAGCCTCCCTTGTGCATTCGGGAGGGAGTTTTAACAAATTAAGTTACAGGATAAATTTTGGGAAGGCAAATTGGGTTTGTAGATAAGACACCACCCAGATATGAGTTATGGTTTCCTATAGACACAAGCCCCTATAGTTAATTATCCCTCCCATTAACGAGAGAGAACTTTCAATTAAGGCTAGTCGTTAATCAAATACGTAGAGATACATGTTATCTTGCATATAGTAGCAGCAAGGGTTCCGTAGAAGGAAGGAGGAAGAGGCAGAGGGGACTTTGGTGTTCGGCTACTAGTGTCGTGGGTTGGTGAATGGAAGAAGCGACAGAGAACGAAGAGCTTCCTTGGTTCGCCATTTTAACGACAAGAGTGAGTAGAAATCAAGACGGGCGAGTGATTTTTGCCGTTCATCCGAATTTCTACTAGGATTTAAGGGATGTGAACAAAGATTTTGACGCAGATACGAAGTATGTCGGATTTCGGCTGGATTTGCGGATCTCCTCGGCATATACGAGGTATGCCAGTTTTGAATTTGTGCTGATTTTTTATCAATTGTTTAGAGTTCAACAGTGGTGCATATATAATGTAAAAAATAAGGCCTGCAATGATGGCTTAAATGCATTAATTCTCAGGCATCTCACACTAAGGATAGGCTGGTTTAGGAGTAAGTGGCTAGTCAACCTGGGCTTCAATGTAGCCACTGCACATGATAGAAAACCTCTCATAGTTTCTTCTTAATCTCATAGAACCGTTTGATATATATAAGAAAAAAACATAAATCTCTTACGGTTTGAGTTATACAGTACTGGAAAACTGAAAACAAGTCAGTCCAATGGTCTTTTTACATTTATTTAGTGTGGAATAAGCAGCTGAGGGAACAAGATGCTAATCCTAAGCCTAAAAAATTATAAAAATTTTGAGGAGATAAGGCTTCACAATCAGATCTAACAAATGCATGTGCGTTCTGGCAAGCTCTGAATCTTAATGATTCTTTTAAGCAGGTTTCTGGAAGCACTACTCGAGTAAATAAGCAGAACGGCCATTAAGGAGCTTAAAGAATCCAAGTCTATTTGCACAAGCAATGTGGGCTGAAATAGTAAATTATAAGAATTTGTGAGAGCTGAAGCCATAGCCAACTAAGATACTCTCTTCATTATACAGAACGTGCTTCATCAGTACCTTGTACTTTGCTTCTCTTCAGATTATATTGATTAAAGAATCTTAACACATGTGATGCCTTGATTTATTTTCTAACATATTGTTTTTCTTCTTCTTCTTTCATTAATTTTTTTTTTCCGCTTTTCTTTTCAGACCGTAATCACATTTTCTATTTAGTATTGCTATTTCATTGTTTTTAAGATATTTTTATGTTTGAAAGCTGCTTTAATTTTACATTAACCTTTAAAAAATTATTTTTCTCATAATTTTATAACCTCCGTTATAAAAAGTAATAGCCGTCGCGAATAGGCTTTGGTGAGATTAGGGTTGGGAGAGAGGAGCTCATAGAAAAAGTTGAGTGCATGAGTAATTTTTATTTCTAGAAAAAAAAAAAAATTAAAATGCTAAATTTCATTACTTATGATTTGGCCTATTTGATTTCTCCAATCAAGAGAAAATCAACATATTATGATTTTTCATATGTAACTAGTTGACATCAAATAATTCTTTGGTTCATTTTTGACAAAGTGCGGGCGAATTAAGATTTTTTTTTTTAATTTGCATTCAATATTGAGTATATTAGATATAAATACATGAATGATGATAAAAAATAATAAATTTACAAGAAATTAGGGAGAACTCCTACACTTGTGGGTAAATTTTTTTAGAATTATTGAAATAAATAATAATTATTAAAATTATGATAGATTGTGTCATCATTTTATTGTAATTATGGGTTAATTAACTCATAGTTTGTTATTTTAATATAATGCATTAATGAAATAATATTATTTAGACTTCTTTTGAGATAATTTTCTTACTGCTTTTTAAAGCAACTTTCTAGTACACTGCTTTAAAAAACAATAAAAAAAACTTTCTCAAATAAAGTCTTAACGTGATTTGTTTATAATGACCTCGTATATTACTACATTCATTCCTTGAACTACTATGATATTGTTATGATCCACATGATAGTCATTGATTGTCTCTACCATGCATAGTCTAATTTAATACCTAAAGTACTTTATCTGATTTTTGTGTAGAAAAACCTATTAACATGTGATTATTGAATCTAAAACATCTTTAATTATCCACTAATCTTACTCTAAATAAATGCATACTATTTAACTTTTAGGCTTCATTCTGGATGGCTTTTTTACTGTTTATTAAAACATTTTTCTAGCACAAAAAATAAAAATTTTGTACCAAAAAGCTGTTTTACGAAGAAGAAAGAAAATTGTTTCAAACTAGCTTTCGTACTACTTTTTAAAACGGTTTTCTAATACAAAAATTTCAAATTCAAAAAATTTTT